GCTCTCCTCCGGATCCCGGAAGCTAATGATGACCGGTTCCGGGAGGAACTAGCTGCTGCTGTAGCAGCCTTGGTCCGACTGCGGACCTTGGAAGACTTTGAGTCTCGTATGACAACACTTGAGCAGCGGAACGAAGAGCTGCAGGCTAAGGTAATTAGCCTTGAACAGTCCCAGTTGTCTGCCTCCCGCCCTCCTAACCCTCGATCTGCTGTAATCCCAGTCTCTCAGCCCAACACAACCCTCGTTCCAAGGGCCAGCGGAACTGCGGTAAGTGCAGGAACCGGAGCAAGCTCCTCAAGCGGCAGCACCGATAGTTTTGCACTGATCGCAGTCCCAAATGCAGGGACTTCAGCCCAAAACGCCACAGTCCTTACTCGCGTTTAGTACAGCGGTCCCATGGTGGACAAGCGGGCGGCCACGCTGCCGTCCAAGTACGACGGGACGGCTGACATCACCTCTTGGATTAGTTCCATGCGGTCATACTTCGAGGTCATGCGGACACCGCAAGAGGACCGAAGTATGATCATGGGAACTAATACCGAGCCTGCCGTACGAAACCACATTGAGCTCCAAGCTGTTGCTGCAGGCTATGCACGCATAGACCCGACTGATTGGCTGAAGGTCACCCCAGTTCGCACCCTTGAGGATCTTCTCCTTGACCGGTATCAGGATAAACATGCTGCGCTCAAGGCTAGACTGAAGCTTGAGGCCCTCAAGGGCCAAACATGGAGGTCATCCATGCAAGCTTTGGAACAACACCTGACTGGTCTATTCACCACTCCGGATCTAWGAATGACTGACGTGTCTTGCATGGATGTAGTCATGGGAGTGGCCCCTAAAGAATACCTCTCCCTGCTAGCACTCAAGGACCATGCTACCTGGCGAGAGCTCATGAAGGACCTAGTCGACCTAGAGGCCAAGGACCTCGCCAGGCGCAAGAAGGCGCCCGCTGCAGGTGGGAAACCACAACGCAAGCGGTTTGGAGGCAGCAACCAGCTTGCAATGCATGATCATCGGGAGGCTGACGATCAGTCCTATGCGGATGATCTGCCTCTAGATGACGATCTAGAGCCGGACTCCGATACGGGCTGTTCCACATCAGCCATTGAGTGTGACCGAAATGATGATGAAAAACTTAATGCATTTAGAAAGACTGCTTCAAATAAGGGGTCTAACCGTGGTTCGGGTAAGGGAACTGTCTTACACCTTCCCAAAAATGCTAAGATCCCTGAGAAATCGGAGGAATCTTCTACCAAGCCTTGGGAAGCCCTCCGCATCAGCCAAAAAAAATGGGAAAGAAGGTCCAAACTGCGCGTATGCTTGCATTGTTCAAAGCCTGGGCATGCTGTGCAGGATTGCTATCGTCTTCAGGGAAACAGGCAAGGGGCGTAGAGGAGACATCAGCATTCTCCACAACAAGAGAAGTTGAGCAGTCAGTTGCAGGCCCCTCCGAGGAGACTGGATCTGATCAGCAACGTGCTCTTGAAGCCCAAACTAACGCTGATTCCAAGGCTGAGACAGTCCGAGTGTTATACACTGAGCCTTGGGAGGAGTTTAAAGAGGTCGACCTCCACGCCCACATGGAGCATTGGCTGCAGCTCAAGCAGCAACGCCGTGTCCAAGGGAGCGTGGAGCTGACTTTCTTTAAACCGCTCATTAACCGCCGATACATCCGCGTGCTGATTGACAGTGGTTCGACCACTAACTTCTTCTCTCCGAACGGGATTCGTAAGGCGGGCCTGGGTATGAAGC